ATATTCATAATGACGCTTGGGGAGACATTCTTAATGACGCTTGGGGAGATATTCATAATGACGCTTGGGAGACATTCTTAATGACGCTTGGGGAGATATTCATAATGACGCTTGGGGAGACATTCTTAATGACGCTTGGGGAGATATTCATAATGACGCTTGGGGAGATATTGTTAATGACGCTTGGGGAGACATTCTTAATGACGCTTGGGGAGATATTGTTAATGACGCTTGGGGAGACATTCTTAATGACGCTTGGGGAGATATTCATAATGACGCTTGGGGAGACATTCTTAATGACGCTTGGGGAGACATTCATAATGACGCTTGGGGAGATATTCATAATGACGCTTGGGGAGACATTCTTAATGACGCTTGGGGAGACATTCATAATGACGCTTGGGGAGATATTCATAATGACGCTTGGGGAGACATTCTTAATGACGCTTGGGGAGATATTCTTACTGACGCTTGAGGAGACATTCTTAATGACGCTTGGGGAGACATTCATAATGACGCTTGGGGAGACATTCATAATGACGCTTGGGGAGACATTCTTACTGACGCTTGAGGAGACAGTCTTAATGACGCTTGGGGAGACATTCATAATGACGCTTGGGGAGACATTCATAATGACGCTTGGGGAGACATTCATAATGACACTTGGGGAGACATTCTTACTGACGCTTGAGGAGACATTCTTAATGACGCTTGGGGAGATATTCATAATGACGCTTGGGGAGACATTCATAATGACGCTTGGGGAGATATTCATAATGACGCTTGGGGAGATATTGTTAATGACGCTTGGGGAGACATTCATAATGACGCTTGGGGAGACATTCATAATGACGCTTGGGGAGATATTCATAATGACGCTTGGGGAGACATTCATAATGACGCTTGGGGAGACATTCATAATGACGCTTGGGGAGACATTCATAATGACGCTTGGGGAGATATTGTTAATGACGCTTGGGGAGACATTCATAATGACGCTTGGGGAGATATTCATAATGACGCTTGGGGAGACATTCATAATGACGCTTGGGGAGACATTCATAATGACGCTTGGGGAGACATTCATAATGACGCTTGGGGAGATATTGTTAATGACGCTTGGGGAGACATTCATAATGACGCTTGGGAAGACATTCATAATGACGCTTGGGGAGACATTCATAATGACGCTTGGGGAGATATTCATAATGACGCTTGGGGAGACATTCATAATGACGCTTGGGGAGACATTCATAATGACGCTTGGGGAGATATTGTTAATGACGCTTGGGGAGATATTCATAATGACGCTTGGGGAGACATTCATAATGACGCTTGGGGAGACATTCATAATGACGCTTGGGGAGATATTCTTAATGACGCTTGGGGAGATATTCTTAATGACGCTTGGGGAGATATTCTTAATGACGCTTGGGGAGATATTCTTACTGACGCTTGGGGAGATATTCTTACTGACGCTTGGGGAGACATTCATAATGACGCTTGGGGAGACATTCATAATGACGCTTGGGGAGACATTCTTACTGACGCTTGAGGAGACATTCTTAATGACGCTTGGGGAGACATTCATAATGACGCTTGGGGAGACATTCATAATGACGCTTGGGGAGACATTCTTACTGACGCTTGAGGAGACATTCATAATGACGCTTGGGGAGATATTCATAATGACGCTTGGGGAGATATTGTTAATGACGCTTGGGGAGACATTCATAATGACGCTTGGGGAGATATTCATAATGACGCTTGGGGAGATATTCATAATGACGGTTGGGGAGATATTGTTAATGACGCTTGGGGAGACATTCATAATGACGCTTGGGGAGACATTCATAATGACGCTTGGGGAGACATTCATAATGACGCTTGGGGAGATATTCATAATGACGCTTGGGGAGACATTCATAATGACGCTTGGGGAGACATTCATAATGACGCTTGGGGAGATATTGTTAATGACGCTTGGGGAGATATTGTTAATGACGCTTGGGGAGATATTCATAATGACGCTTGGGGAGACATTCATAATGACGCTTGGGGAGACATTCATAATGATGCTTGGGGAGACATTCATAATGACGCTTGGGGAGACATTCATAATGACGCTTGGGGAGATATTCTTAATGACGCTTGGGGAGATATTCATAATGACGCTTGGGGAGATATTCTTACTGACGCTTGGGGAGATATTCTTACTGACGCTTGGGGAGACATTCTTAATGACGCTTGGGGAGACATTCTTAATGACGCTTGGGGAGATATTCTTAATGACGCTTGGGGAGACATTCTTAATGACGCTTGGGGAGATATTCTTAATGACGCTTGGGGAGATATTCTTAATGACGCTTGGGGAGATATTCAAACTCCCCTTTCACCCCAGGGGAGAGTGTGGCACCACAGGGGAGAGCCTGGCACCCCAGGGGAGAGTGTGGCACCCCCAGGGGAGAGCGTGGCACCCCAGGGGAGAGCGTGGCACCCCAGGGGAGTGTGTGGCACCACAGGGGAGAGTGTGCACCCCAGGGGAGAGTGTGGCACCCCCAGGGGAGAGCGTGGCACCCCAGGGGAGAGCGTGGCACCCCAGGGGAGTGTGTGGCACCACAGGGGAGAGTGTGCACCCCAGGGGAGAGTGTGGCACCCCAGGGGAGAGTGTGGCACCCCAAGGGAGAGTGTGGCACCCCAGGGGAGAGAGTGGCACCACAGGGGAGAGTGTGGCACCACAGGGGAGAGTGTGGCACCACAGGGGAGAGTGTGGCACCACAGGGGAGAGTGTGGCACCACAGGGGAGAGTGTGGCACCACAGGGGAGAGTGTGGCACCCCAGGGGAGAGTGTGGCACCACAGGGGAGAGTGTGGCACCACAGGGGAGAGTGTGGCACCCCAAGGGAGAGTGTGGCACCCCAGGGGAGAGTGTGGCACCACAGGGGAGAGTGTGGCACCACAGGGGAGAGTGTGGCACCACACAGGAGAGAGTGGCACCACAGGGGAGAGTGTGGCACCACAGGGGTGAGTGTGGCACCCCAGGGGAGAGAGTGGCACCCCAAGGGAGAGTGTGGCACCCCAGGGGAGAGTGTGGCACCACAGGGGAGAGTGTGGCACCACAGGGGAGAGTGTGGCACCCCAGGGGAGAGTGTGGCACCACAGGGGAGAGTGTGGCACCACAGGGGAGAGTGTGGCACCCCAGGGGAGAGTGTGACACCACAGGGGAGAGTGTGGCACCACAGGGGAGAGTGTGGCACCCCAGGAGAGAGAGTGGCACCACAAGGGAGAGTGTGGCACCCCAGGGGAGAGTGTGGCACCACAGGGGAGAGAGTGGCACCACAGGGGAGAGTGTGGCACCCCAGGGGAGAGTGTGGCACCACAGGGGAGAGTGTGGCACCCCAAGGGAGAGAGTGGCACCCCAGGGGAGAGAGTGGCACCACAGGGGAGAGTGTGGCACCCCAAGGGAGAGTGTGGCACCACAGGGGAGAGTGTGGCACCCCAAGGGAGAGTGTGGCACCACAGGGGAGAGTGTGGCACCCCAGGGGAGAGAGTGGCACCCCAAGGGAGAGTGTGGCACCACAGGGGAGAGTGTGGCACCACAGTGGAGAGTGTGGCACCACAGGGGAGAGTGCGGCACCACAGGGGAGAGTGTGGCACCACAGGGGAGAGTGTGGCACCCCAAGGGAGAGTGTGGCACCACAGGGGAGAGTGTGGCACCACAGAGGAGAGAGTGGCACCACAGGGGAGAGAGTGGCACCACAGGGGAGAGTGTGGCACCACAGGGGAGAGTGTGGCACCCCAGGGGAGAGAGTAGCACCACAGGGGAGAGTGTGGCACCACAGGGGAGAGTGTGGCACCACAGGGGAGAGTGTGGCACCACAGGGGAGAGTGTGGCACCACAGGGGAGAGTGTGGCACCACAGGGGAGAGTGTGGCACCCCAAGGGAGAATGTGGCACCACAGGGGAGAGTGTGGCACCCCAGGGGAGAGTGTGGCACCCCAAGGGAGAGTGTGGCACCACAGGGGAGAGTGTGGCACCCCAGGGGAGAGTGTGGCACCCCAAGGGAGAGTGTGGCACCACAGGGGAGAGTGTGGCACCCCAAGGGAGAGTGTGGCACCACAGGGGAGAGTGTGGCACCCCAGGGGAGAATGTGGCACCCCAAGGGAGAGTGTGGCACCACAGGGGGGAGAATGGTCTACATGGCCACTCCCACACTGGCCGTGTGGACCACACTGGCCGCGTGGACCACACTGGCCGCGTGGACCACTGTGGCCTGAAGTACTGACAGGTCACGCCTAGCCTCTGACTGTTCCTGTCATACATTATTGCTCAACTTATCCAGGACCAAAATATCCCAATATCCCTGACGATAACCTCCCCCCCCCCAATATATCCCACGCCAAAATACCCCCAACATAGCCTGGTGAGACCCCCCCCCCAACATATTCCATACCAAAATGCCTCATCATACTGTAGAGCAACATTCTCCAACATATCCTAGGCCTATACTATCGCTGGTTATTTTATAACAAAAATATTTCAAACTGGGAACCACCTCCACCCATCTACCAGCCACCACCACCCACACAACCGCCACCACCAACCACCACCACCAACCACCCCCGACAACCACCCCCACCAACCACCCACACCAACCACCACCACCAACCTCCCCCACCAACCACCCCCACCAACCACCCCCGACAACCACCCCCACCAACCACCCCCGACAACCACCCCCACCAACCACCCCCACCAACCAGCCCCACCAACCACCCCCACCAACCACCCCCGACAACCACCCCCGACAACCACCCCCACCAACCACCCCCACCAACCAGCCCCACCAACCACCCCCACCAACCAGCCCCGACAACCACCACTTAACAATAAGCAAGCTACCTGTATAAAATACTTACCTGGCGCTACCCAGCCAATCAGCGGCCTCGTTACGTTCCAGACTCCGCCCCCGGAGTGGCTGTGACCACGCCCACATCTCAGGTGGTCGTGGAGGACCACTTTAACCGAGGACCACGAGGCCGACCACGAGGCCGACCAAGAGGCCGACCACGAGGCCGACCAAGAGGCCGACCACGAGGCCGACCACGAGGTCGACCAAGAGGCCGACCACGAGGCCGACCACGAGGCCGACCAAGAGGCCGACCACGAGGCCGACCACGAGGCCGACCACGAGGCCGACCAAGAGGCCGACCACGAGGCCGACCAAGAGGCCGACCACGAGGCCGACCACGAGGTCGACCAAGAGGCCGACCACGAGGCCGACCACGAGGCCGACCAAGAGGCCGACCACGAGGCCGACCAAGAGGCCGACCACGAGGCCGACCACGAGGCCGACCACGAGGCCGACCACGAGGCCGACCACGACGCTCCTCCACTAACAAGAGCCACACACTTGTTAAATATTGCTATTGATGTACTAGAATAGTTGTTCTAGTATTTTGTCAGGCGGCTTCTGCTACAACCACCACTACCACCACCTTAAGTACAGCAATTGTTGTGGTTGTTGCTGCTACCACGATCGTTCTTCCTGCTGCTGCCTTCACTAATACAGCTGTTGTCTTGGTGGCTGCTACCACAACTACCACAACTCATGCTACCATTAGTTCTATACCCCCCCCCCCCCGTTCCCCTCATATACTTCCATCAATACTACCTCTAATATACTACCACCATTACTACCCCCTCTTATACTACTACTACCCCACGACTACTGTCACAACTAGCCCGTCTCACATACTACCACAACTACAACCCCCCACCTTGTCTACCATCATATGTACAAGTCAACAACAGATTTGAGAGGTTTTCACAGTAGAGCTAGCGTGGAGACCAACGTTGCAAGATGAAAGGCCAGAAGAAACAATGGATGACACTGTAGTTACTGTGTACGAGGTAAGGAAGCACCTGGAGGAACAGGATGAGACAGTCACACCTACATGAACTATGAGGTCTACTTTATTATAAGCTTCCCAAAGCCTTATCCAACTTGACTTGTCACTCAAAAGCCTCTACTCGACCAGTGAATCCCTTCACCACACATAAATACACATGTTAACTCTCAACAATAATATTCATTTCATCACACGCATGTAGATCAATGCATATATATATATATATATATATATATATATATATATATATATATATATATATATATACAACTTTAGAACACTTTCCCACCAGGAGACTCGAACCCTAGCCAGCACAGAAGCCTTCCAACAACTGGCATAACAGGTACGCCTTAACCCTCTCCACCACCCGCTCAGACCCTAAAAGAGATGGTAATTTCGGAGTATTTAAATACCCCAAAGATCAACACCTCCCAAGAGCACCAGAGCAAGTGAGGGGTCATTTAGACGTTAATTTCATCAAGTCCCTGTTAATATGGGAAGACACAGTGTCTCTGCTTAAGGCACAACTCTCCTAAACACGAGAGTGAAGTATACAACTTTAGAACACTTTCCCACCAGGAAAGGTTTGTGGAGCGGGTTAAGGCGTACCTGTTATGCCAGTTGCTGGAAGGCTTCTGTGCTGGCTAGGGTTCGAGTCTCCTGGTGGGAAAGTGTTCTAAAGTTCTATACTTCACTCTCGTGTTTAGGAGAGTTGTGCCTTAAGCATAGACACTGTGTCTTCCCATATTAACAGGGACTTGATGAAATTAACGTCTAAATGACCCCTCACTTGCTCTAGTGCTCTTGGGAGGTGGTGATCTTTGGTGTATTTAAATACTCCGAAATTACCATCTCTTTTAAGGGTCTGAGTGGGTGGTGGAGCGGGTTAAGGCGTACCTGTTATGCCAGTTGCTGGAAGGCTTCTGTGCTGGCTAGGGTTCGAGTCTCCTGGTGGGAAAGTGTTCTAAAGTTGTATGTATATATATATATATATATATATATATATATATATATATATATATATATATATATATATATATATATATATATATATATATGTGTGTGTGTGTGTGTGTGAGTGTGTGTGTGTGAGTGTGTGTGTGTGAGTGTGTGTGTGTGAGTGTGTGTGTGTGAGTGTGTGTGTGTGTGTGTGTGTGTGTGTGTGTGCGTGTGAGTGTGTGTGTGTGTGTGTGTGTGTGTGTGTGTGTGTGTGTGTGTGTGTGTGTGTGTGTAAATCACGAAAATTAACACGTGATGAAAATCCCATTGTTTGAACAATTTCCTCTTTTCATTTGACCAATTCTCTTGAATTAGTTAACAAATTGATCAGTGTTCCTGTCACTCCTGATGTAAAGTTAATCAGTTTTGACGTTTGTTCCTTGTTTACAAAGGTGCCGGTTGATGATATTCTCGATTATCTTGCTCGTGAACTTATGAGCCATGTTTTACCTCTTTCTGCTGATATTATTGTCAGTCTTGTTAAGTTGTGCATTAAAGAATGTAAATTTACCTTTAATAATGAGTATTATTTACAGACTTTTGGAATGACAATGGGGAATCCTTTATCGCCATTGCTTTCAAACTTGTACATGGAATTCTTCGAGAAGAAATTTGTTTCAAAAATAACTCCTGGAATCATTCCATGGTTTAAATATGTTGATGATATTTTGTGTATATGGCCTACAGGGGCCTCGTAGCCTGGTGGCTAGCGCGCAGGACTCGTAATTCTGTGGCGCGGGTTCGATTCTCGCACGAGGCAGAAACAAATGGGCAAAGTTTCTTTCACCCTGAATGCCCCTGTTACCTAGCAGTAAATAGGTACCTGGGTGTTAGTCAGCTGTCACGGGCTGCTTCCTGGGGGTGGAGGCCTGGTCGAGGACCGGGCCGCGGGGACACTAAAAAAAAAAAAGCCCCGAAATCATCTCAAGATAACCTCAAGATACTTCAGGTGTAAACACTGACGAATTTGTAGCCAAACTTAATGACCAAGTCACCTCTATAAAGTTTACTATGGAGACTGAAATTGATAAATGTTTGCCATTCCTAGATGTACTTATACATAGAGAAGACTTTTCACTAAAGTTTAGTGTCTACAGAAAACCTACGAATAATTAAACTTATGTTCATTATTTTTCAGGGCATAGATACAATGTGAAAAAATCAATTTTTTCTTCAAGGTATCTAAGAGCTCTTCGGGTTGTGAGTCCTGAATTCTTAGATGAAGAGTTTAAGAATATTGATTCTATTAGTCTCAAGTGTTATCCACTGAGTTTTTGCAAGTTCGGAAGCAACGTAGCAAAGTTGTACATATTATAATAATATATGCAGTGAAAAAAATTCGTCCAAAGAATGTATTATGTTTACCATATTGCTCTGGGTTTGAGAATATAGTCAAGGCCTTGAAACTTTTTCATATACACGTATTGTTTATTTATGTATAAACGGTATTGATAGTTTTTCATTCATAAAGAGTGGGGTTGGCGGGTGTATGGAATGGCCCTTGGGTCTTTATTTATGGGGACAGGCTGGTGTATGAAGACAGGGCTGGTGTATGAGGACGGGGCTGGTGTATGAGGACGGGGCTGGTGTATGAGGACAGGGCTGGTGTATGAAGACAGGGCTGGTGTATGAAGACAGGGCTGGTGTATGAGGACAGGGCTGGTGTATGAGGACAGGGCTGGTGTATGAAGACAGGGCTGGTGTATGAAGACAGGGCTGGTGTATGAAGACAGGGCTGGTGTATGAGGACGGGGCTGGTGTATGAGGACAGGGCTGGTGTATGAAGACAGGGCTGGTGTATGAAGACAGGGCTGGTGTATGAGGACAGGGCTGGTGTATGAGGACGGGGCTGGTGTATGAGGACGGGGCTGGTGTATGAGGACAGGGCTGGTGTATGAAGACAGGGCTGGTGTATGAAGACAGGGCTGGTGTATGAAGACAGGGCTGGTGTATGAAGACAGGGCTGGTGTATGAAGACAGGGCTGGTGTATGAGGACAGGGCTGGTGTATGAGGACAGGGCTGGTGTATGAAGACAGGGCTGGTGTATGAGGACGGGGCTGGTGTATGAAGACAGGGCTGGTGTATGAAGACAGGGCTGGTGTATGAAGACAGGGCTGGTGTATGAGGACAGGGCTGGTGTATGAGGACAGGGCTGGTGTATGAAGACAGGGCTGGTGTATGAGGACGGGGCTGGTGTATGGAGACGGGGCTGGTGTATGGAGACAGGGCTGGTGTATGAAGACGGGGCTGGTGTATGAGGACGGGGCTGGTGTATGGAGACGGGGCTGGTGTATGAAGACAGGGCTGGTGTATGAAGACAGGGCTGGTGTATGAAGACGGGGCTGGTGTATGAAGACAGGGCTGGTGTATGAAGACAGGGCTGGTGTATGAAGACAGGGCTGGTGTATGAGGACGGGGCTGGTGTATGAAGACAGGGCTGGTGTATGAAGACAGGGCTGGTGTATGAGGACGGGGCTGGTGTATGGAGACGGGGCTGGTGTATGGGGACGGGGCTGGTGTATGAAGACAGGGCTGGTGTATGAAGACAGGGCTGGTGTATGAAGACAGGGCTGGTGTATGAAGACAGGGCTGGTGTATGAAGACAGGGCTGGTGTATGAAGACAATGCTGGTGTATGAGGACGGGGCTGGTGTATGAAGACAGGGCTGGTGTATGAAGACAGGGCTGGTGTATGAGGACGGGGCTGGTGTATGAAGACAGGGCTGGTGTATGAGGACGGGGCTGGTGTATGAAGACAGGGCTGGTGTATGAGGACGGGGCTGGTGTATGAGGACGGGGCTGGTGTATGAAGACAGGGCTGGTGTATGAGGACGGGGCTGGTGTATGAGGACGGGGCTGGTGTATGAAGACAGGGCTGGTGTATGAAGACAGGGCTGGTGTATGAAGACAGGGCTGGTGTATGAAGACAGGGCTGGTGTATGAAGACAGGGCTGGTGTATGAAGACAGGGCTGGTGTATGAGGACGGGGCTGGTGTATGAAGACAGGGCTGGTGTATGAAGACAGGGCTGGTGTATGAGGACGGGGCTGGTGTATGAGGACGGGGCTGGTGTATGAGGACGGGGCTGGTGTATGAAGACAGGGCTGGTGTATGAGGACGGGGCTGGTGTATGAGGACGGGGCTGGTGTATGAAGACAGGGCTGGTGTATGAGGACTGGGCTGGTGTATGAGGACGGGGCTGGTGTATGAGGACAGGGCTGGTGTATGAGGACAGGCTGGTGTATGAGGACAGGGCTGGTGTATGAGGACGGGGCTGGTGTATGAGGACAGGCTGGTGTATGAGGACGGGGCTGGTGTATGAGGACGGGGCTGGTGTATGAGGACAGGGCTGGTGTATGAAGACAGGGCTGGTGTATGAAGACAGGGCTGGTGTATGAAGACAGGGCTGGTGTATGAGGACAGGGCTGGTGTATGAGGACAGGGCTGGTGTATGAAGACAGGGCTGGTGTATGAGGACGGGGCTGGTGTATGAGGACAGGGCTGGTGTATGAAGACAGGGCTGG